AAAAAGCCCTGTTGTAAAAATAAGAACTGCCCACAACAATTTTTTACAATGGAATCAAAAGGCATCTCTGTGCAACTGGAGTTTGAAAACTAAAATAGGCTTTCATCTCAAACGGTTAGAATCCGTACTCTAAATCTTAATCCCAGAGTTTACTTCGTAAACATGTGGCTGTAAGGTTCCCGTGTTACCTCTTTACTGGCTTTAAATGTTTCTTTCTTGCAGGCCACTGAGGTCCTCCACTCAAAGTAATGCACGCATTCTGTTGCAGTGACAAACTCAGGAGTCCCCTATGTAAAAGACAATTGAAAACAAGTTACCACAGCACACATCGTGAGATTTCCTTTCCAAAGTTAGCACACGGTTGAAGCTAATGAAATAAAGTAGCTATGAGAAGGGGGGGGCAGAAAAGAAAAAGAAGAACATTCGTTAAACAAGGTCATCAAGAAGTTCCCAAACCCAAAAATTTGGAACGCAAACATCCATGAGATCACTGGAGTTTCAATTCTGCTGGCCCAAAGCCATTCCATGGCCCCAACCACGCCAGTCCAGGAAACTCCAGGGAACGAGCCTTTGGAGCCTTCCAAATGTTCTCTTAACCAAATGCCAACAAAATCGAAGCCAGAAACGTGAACTCATTTCCTGTGTGCTGAGCAGGGAGGCCCATCTGGATCCGGCTTCAGCATGTGCACCTAACAGACGCAGGCTGGGCCTCCATCTCACTTCAGATATTCTCACAAGAGTGGTTAACCACCCCAGTGCTCAGCAACCAGGCGGGAAGGGATACTCCCCTGTGAGGATGCAGGGTCTTGCCTTCGAAATCCTGCTTCTCGTATGCTGCACACAGATGTCTTAAAGGACACGAGCTAAAATTAAAGTAGCAGCTAGAGTATTCTGTCAGACAGCCCTTCACATTTCGCACCCCTGCGGACAGCTTCTTTTACAGGGTGTCAGCATGTGCAACGGGGCGGTCGATGGACTTGTCCAGAATTAACACTTTCAATGCTATCTGTCAAGTGCTTTGGATGAGGCATCATGGGCCAGAAGATATGACGGTCACAGCACCATATTATAATCAGATATTTTAGAGTCATTTGGTGGCCACCTGAGTCTCACTCAACCCGAGTTTGCTAAACCCTTGGGTTCCTACTCTGATGAGCAATCACTCACACGATGTGCACACAAATCGCTTCTCCTGCAAGCCAGCGACTCTCGACTGAAAGCTCCCTTCTGGACACTAAGAGTTAAAAGCAACACATCACATACAATCTGCAGAGAGGAGGAACAAACATCCTGCTTTACCCAGTGAAGGCCCCCTTCCACGCAGGCTAACAGTCAAAACGCTTGGGAGCTCCATCTCTTGCTGGCCGAAGCAGCTTCTAAATAGATGTTGGCCTCTCAAATACAGTGTAAGTGAAGGAAGTAAAACAGTTGTTAAAAATCAACACATGGCCCTAAAACCTGTCCAAATGAAATGCCGGGAGAAGAGGTTTCAGAAATTTAAAAACAAAACTGTGCCTGCAACATGAACATAAAACAGCACTCACACACTCATTAGTCAGAACCTCAGCCTTCTGCAGGGTGTGCAAGTTTTACCTCAGAGTTTTAACTGTAGGCTTGGAGTGCACTTACTCGTTCTCACTGGTGCTAGTGACTTGGTGGGGAGGGGGGTGGTGTGTGTGTTTAGTTCTGCACAGACTCTTTCTGGAATACCTCTGAGAGAGAACGCCCACAGGGCCCAGGTTTCTGACAAGAGAAGTGACTCTGAAGACTCACCAGGGTTTTCCCACACAGGAAGGTGATGCTACTCTGGACTTTGTGATTTTTGCTTGGCTGCTCACAATTGGTTGTTGTGTTAAACTCCAGAAGAGATCTGGTTCCACTTTTCAGAAGAGAATCACCTATTAAGACAGAGAGGGAACAAGCTATAAAACATATGCAACCTTAAAACTATTCCCGAGGATAAGCAAATTAAAAGTGGCACTATAATTCATCTGAAAGCTTAGACACTTACAAACTATCCCTCCCCAGAACTTTCCATTTCAGGAACGGCATTCCCAGCCAGCCAGCTGTTCAAGCTCCAAACACATTCCCCGGAGTCCTGTCTTTCCCTCATCCAGCAATACGTCAGAAAGTTCTGCTAGTCCTACCTCCTTAGCAAGTATGTCTCACACATCCCTCCACCTCTATTACTATTAAAACCACTACCAGCTCTCACCTGTATTCTCACTGCTATTAAAACGCCTACTATCTCTTGCCTGTATTCTTGCCTCCTCGATGGCCCCTTGGCTTCCATTCTGTCTCACCACTCACCCATTCTCCTCCCCCATCCCTCTTGCACCAGGGTGATCTTAAGCTAGAATATGTAACGCTGCTGTTGAAACTTCATAAATTCCCAATCATGTGTGTTACAAAATCTAACTTCTCCAGCACAGTCCACAAGTAGGGTGGCCATGTCTCAGCATGGAACATTACTGGTTCACTCCAGTTGTCCTGGAGTTAACAAAGAGCTCTCCCCTTTACTCTCAAAAGTGTCCCAGTTTGCATGAGAAACCATTTGCTCACTTTATCTGTGAGTCCCTACAAGCCTAACACTCTATCCTTATCGCCCCCATTCTTCCCTCAACTCACTGTCCTTCAACCACCTTGGCCTCATGCCAACCTCGCATCTATGCCAGCACCTTTGTGTGTGTCATTTCATTGCTTACAATGCTCCTCCAGCAGATCCTCTAACGGCTGACTCCTGGTCATCTGAATCACAGCTCAAAATTCATTTCTGCAAAGAGGCGCCCAGTTGTCCAACTCCTTCATGTTATACAGTTTCCTTCCTCACACTTAACTCTTATCTGAAACCGTTTTATGTCTTTGTTCTTCGGTCATCTGCTCCCCAACTAGGATGCAAGCTCCGACTTGTTTACCTTTGTATCCCAACACTTAGATCAGCGTGTAAGTTTATGGTAAGCTTTTGTCAAACATTTACTGAACAAAATCCTAGCTCACAGTCATTCTTTTGGGTGGATCTGTGTCTCATGAATTTAAATGTAAAAGGTTCTAGAATAGTAAGACTGCATATGTGAAGTAGATGAACATGTATATGAATGTATATATGTATCTTTAGGGGCATATAGGATCTCTAAAAGTTCCATTCAAATTTAACAGTAGTTACTCCAGGAGCATTTCAAGGAAAAGATAAAGAAGGAGGCCTTTATGCCCTCCTGTACGGTCTGAAATTACGAAGGAGCAGGAACTTCTTTGGAATTAATCAACAAGAATTCAACCTAAAAGAACCCATTCTTATTAACATATGTGGCTAAATTTTCAGATTATTAATTAGGTAACATGCAAAATGCTTAGCAATTGCTTGGCATATTCTAAGTGTTTAAGAAATGTTAGCTACTGGGAGCAACAGTGGTACGTTTCTCTCACTGCCATGGAGTCAAGTCAGTTTTGACTCATAGAGACCCCTCCTCGGGTTTCTGAGCTAGTATCACTACGAAAGTAGAGGAGTGGCTGAGGGGTTTGAACCACTACCCTTCTGGTTAGCAGTCAAGTGCCTCAGGCACTACGCCACCAGAGCTTAGCACCCCCTCAACAAAATTTTTAAAGGATTCATTCCCCACTACCAGGGTGTCTGTCTCTGTCTGCCTGTCTCTCTCTTTCATACACACACATATACATTCTAAGTGGAAACAGGGAAAAAACGTGGGAAACTCTACAGTGGATAGGTTAGTGCCCCAGATAACACATTTCTGAGCTGTAACGTAAGAGTCCCTAAGGCAAAGAAAATCACTGTGGAAAGGAGGAGAAGAGAGATCACAATGGAAATTAGTCAACATTTATTTGGTTCGCCAGGTTCTCGCTCTTTTCTTAAAATCAGTTCCAGCATTCTGCACTTTTGTGCTGGGGTGAGGAGCAAACGGCTGCAGCTGGGGTGCCTCAGGCTCTGCCCGGGGCTCCTCCTCCAGGGCCCCAGCCCTCCCCCGCTCAGCCCCAGGCCTAGAGACACCAAGACTGAGCCCTGCCTTCTCTCATTTGCACTGTCTGACAAAATAAACAGCACCCACCCCTAAGGGCAACAGAGGCCAGCAGCCAAAGAAAACAAGATATTTGAGGAACACAACCATTTCAAAAGAAAGAAAATGCTGGATTATAGATAGAACAGAATGAGAACTGTAAGAGATAGGAAAGAGCCTCGTAAACATATTTAAAGAGATAAGAGAAGACACTGGCAACCTAAAATGAGCACAATAAGCAGAAATGGGAAATATTACAACTACAACAGATAAAATTCCTAAAAACACACAATAGATGGAAGATAGGAGAAAGGACACAGCTGAAGAATGAACTAACCAACTTTCACACCAAACTGAAGAAATGTGCCAGAATGAAGAACAAAGAAATGGAATATACAAAAGAAAAGGCAAGACACAAGACAGAAGGTGAAGTGCTAGCAAGGTGAAAACAGACATCCCAGGAGAAAAAGGAGAGGAGGAAATGTCTGAAGGGCAGAGAGATTCTCTTTCTTTATAAATCCAAATAAAAAAGGAGATGAAAGACTGACTGAGAAAACACAGCATGCCAAAAATGAGAAAGAAGGAAAAACTTACACCTGGTCACATGATCATGAATTCTAATAGCCAAAGGCCAAGAAAAATGTCTGAAACTTCTGGTGAAAAAGAACAGATCACATGCAACAGATACCCCAATAGAAAAATGGACACACATGACCAAACAAAACAAAAACACGCGCCAGTAAACACATGAAGAACTATTCGACATCTCTGATGATCAAGGAATTGCAATCAAAATCCCAATGACAGATCATTTACAGCCATTCCATTGGCAAAAATGAAATACTTAGCATTGGAGATGCTTAGATCCAAAGCTCACCCTATGCTGTTGGGAGAAATGTAAACGGTATCACCTCTGTGTGAGTCAGCATGGCATCTATGGCATGGACTCTACAATCCAGCAATATTGTACTGTTAGATATACATACAAGAGAAAAGCATGTACATACATTAACAGGAAACATGGGAAACAATAGCTAGTATTATTCACAATAGTGAGAGCATGGAAACAACTCAAACTCTCATCAGCAGAAGAGTCGATAAATTAACCATGATAGAGCCACACAACAGATTATACAGCAGTTAATGGAACTGAACACGGTGGAAGATAATAATATGGTTAATTTTTAGCAATATAATACTGCTGTTATAGTACCAAAAATTTACACATAGCATGATATACATTCTTCATAAAGTTAAAAATATTACATATACACACATAGTTTTTTGAAATATCAACATATATAGATAGACAAACTCACTGTCACCGAGTCGATTCTGACTCATGGAAACCCCCACTGGGTTTCCAAGGCTGTACATCTTTATGGAAGCAGACTGCCTCATCTTTCTTCCACAAACTGGCTGGTGGGTTCAAACCACCAACCTTTTAGTTAGCAGACAAATGCCTTAACCACTACACCACCAGAGATGCTCAGACATAGGGTAAAAAAATTTTAAATACTGGATTCAGGCTACTGATTACTTTGGGGGCGGCAGGATAGGGAAACACGTTATTGTTGTTGTTATGTGCTGTCCAGTCGGACCTGACTCATAGCAACCCCTCCTTGGGTTTCCAAGGCAGTATCATAAGGAGCTCTGGTAGCATAGTGGCTAAGACACTTGCTTGCTAACCAGACGGCTGGCGGTTCAAACCCACCAGCCACTCCTCGGAAGGAAGGTTGGGCAATCCTACTTCCGTAGTGATACTGCCTTGGAAACCCAAGGAAGGGTCACTATGAGTCAGGGCTGACTCCACGGCACATAACAACAACAACAACAACATCACTACGGAAGTAGATTGTCCAACCTTCCTTCCGAGGAGTGGCTGGTGGGTTTGAACCACCAGCCTTCTGGTTAGCAGTCAAGTGCCTTAGGCACTATGCTACCAGAGCTCCCAGGGAAACACATAGATAATGGTTATTGTCAAAGTTCTAGCTTTTGTTAGAGGTGGGGTACATTGGGGTTTGTTACATAAACATGAATTTTAAAACAAAAGAAAAGTCTATGGATTCATCGTGAGTGTGAGTATGCATTATGAACTCAGGATTGTGACTGATCTAATGATACATACACCTGAGTTCCAAAAGGGGGGGCCTCTCCCCCAGGGGCCTCTCCCCCAAAAAAGGAAAAAGAGCAAGGTATGAAAATTAAGACGCCAGTGAAGGGGAGAGGACCAGGGCTGCCCACAGCACCGGGCTGGTAGCACACTGGACCTCCGTGGTTCTTTTTCCCGCATGCGCACAAAGGTGTGCTGAGATCCGGGATCGCCCCATTATGCCCGAAACTCCCAGGGTCTACATTAAACTGCTTCCCCTGATGGAATCAGCCAAAAGGGCGCAGAAGCTCTGCAGCAACTACGAGTACCAAGGACAGCGCCTGTGGCTCCGCCCACGAATGGGCGTGTCTCGTGGGTGGGCAGTGGTCACGTCAGGAGGCGGCCCAGGATTTGGGGCGGGGCTTCTGCACGTCCTCCAGCGCAGCTTCCGGACACACGCAGAAGGCAACAGGCGGCCTCAGCAGGCAGTGGCGGGAACTCGGCGGCGGGTCGGTGTGGCGTCACCCAGCACCCAATGACCGACCGCCCGCCTCGCCAGGCCCCAGACCCACATTGGCTCTTCACTGCTGCCGAAGAGTTCCCGGGGAGCATTTCACCCCATGCCTAGCCTGTCCGGAAAGTGAAATAAAAAGAGCCCTGGAGCCTTGGTGGAGGATCCGGCCACCGTGCCCGCAGTCCCAGGACTCGGAGGAATCGCGCCATTAGGACGCCTCACCGCCATCAAGACCCCTCACAGTCGTCTGGGTTCGCCCGGTGCCCTCGCCTTCCTCGCTTC